TTGATAACAAATCGCTGATGTCAATGAGGGCCTGGCATTGTAGCGCTAGAAATGTAGGAGTATCCAGTAACATTATTAGCATGGGACACCCACCATAGACGGGACCACGGGATGGGGGAGGGAAGGGAGAACCCTCCAGCGGCACAGGCCAACTCGAGAACGAGAAGAGCTAGAAAGCTGAAACTTTGGGGAGATAGCAGTGCTAAAACCAAAGTAAACTCTCTTCCACGCTCTCCGTCACGTTACCCTTCCCGCCCTCGGGAGGCCGCCCTGAATCCGCCTATAATACCCACATCGATCCACTTAGTATACCAATGAAAAATTCATCGAAAAATCCTGCAAAATCCACTGTAATTTCCAGTTTTTTCAAACACAGTTTAAATTGCAGGAAACGAAACATCTGATGTCTAAAGCAGATAAAGATGGTGATGGTCGTCTAAGCATTGATGAAATACTCGACGAATCGGATCTCTTTGTTGGCTCAGAAGCAACGAATCACGGCGAAAATTTGGTTGAACTTTCACATGATGAGTTATAGTGCATGATTGTTTCTGTGGTTTCAGAGGATGAGTACGCATAGCACTGTTATCGGCACATATTCGATAGATGGAAATCTTACGCAACGTTTCTTTGAGTATTTAAAAAAACTGTATTTTATAATTTGCTGCCTGTTTTGATGTCCGCTCAGATAACGAGGCATTTTAGCAAGAAAAAATTTGAACATTTTAGCTCAGATTTTTGGAAATTTCGCTTTCTTTTTTTGCAAATGATTTATGAATAGCTTATGAATTTCAACCGATTTTTTTGTTCCACTATATCTTTTCGTTTTTCGGCCAATTTTTCTCAGTCTTTCATGGCGCTAGTACTATTTCCTCCTCTAAATTCATCAATGAGCCATCTGTTGTTCTGTGAATTTCATGCGAGTCCAATATGTGAATTATTCATTTCCTTTAAAAAATTACTGGAATGATTTTTTAATTATATATATGATATCTAGATAACTCCAAGTCGACTCGCATTCGGTTTTTTGGATAGCTTTTGAAGGCTTATCAAGTTATTGTTCGAAATTTTAAAAGTGAGCGGTATTTTTAAATCTTTTTTTTTTTTGGAAATTTTAAAAAATTTAACAAAACGAGCAAATTGTATATGTTAAGACTGTCCGGACATTCTGAGCGGGTACCTCATGTTAGTGGTGATACGGAAATTCTCCAGTACATTATGTCAGGGCTTCGATACTGGCCTACAGCATTCAGTTACCCGCCACTTCCGCCTATTCGATGTATGTGTGCACAGTTAGGGTGTTTTTACTGGAATTGCTACCCATCCTTGCTTTTTGCGCTTCGACTACAACTCATCGACACCGAAAAGCCTCACACACCATCAGTCAGCGTTTTTCTCAGTCATATATTTGGACGTAAAATTTTTTTAAGTTTATTTTATCGTAAACTTCTTAAACATTGGCTTATCCTCATCCAGTCTTCCTGCTCATCAGTTAATCTAGAAGATGATTAATTTCATTATTTTCAATAGCCCATCTTTTTTCGTTGATTTAGGAAAATTTCTTTCATTGAATAACCCCGCCTGAAAATTTGAGTGGATGATCAAAGAAGTGCTTGAAATACTTGGAGCAGCTCTCATTTTATAATCTAATCCTTCAACTTTGTGGCTAAAAAAACTTGAAGTTGCTTTGATCAGTGTTAAATTGGCTGCCGCAAATCAGCTTGCTGATGCTCGTTTCGTCTCCTGGATGGATTACGGGCTTAGGGGGTTCTCTGACAGACGTACATGATGAATAAAACTTCAGTCTTTTCGAGATTTACCTGAGTTCACGTATCAAAAGCTGCCATTCTTAAAAAACGATCAAAATACCCAGTCGGCTAGAAAGATCGAGCACAAAGCGCTGAACTTGTGGGTGAAAGAAAACATATTTTGCCCCTCTCCCCTCCTCCTCCCGCTCCTTCCCTCCCGTTCCTTAAGATATCTACTTATTGTGCTTTCTTAATAGCTTTACATAGTTCGAGATACATCAGACCACTCTCGTTTCATCGTAGTCTTCTTCATTGTTATTGCAATTAGCAATTTCTTCATCCTGTTCGTCTTTAAATTTTATGATTTCACGCATCCATCGGACTCGAATCCCAGCTTCTCTGTGCTGATAAAATAAATTTTATTACATTTTTTGGAAAATTTACGCAAATATGAGTGACCCCTTCTGAGCTTCCTTTAATTTAAATGTTCGTGTATCTCATGTAATCTCATGATTGTTGTGCATTTTTTGTCCACGTTACTTATTCATTCTGCTGTGCTCATTTTATCGCTAAGCTTTATCATCATCAACGAAAAATGTTGTTTTTTTTCTGTAATCGTGATACTGTAATAATAATCATGATAAAAAAATTACTGTTTTTTGCGAGTTTCGCTGTTTTATGAATGCGCAGAATCGGTCATCCCGAGCCTGTTGCATGCCGAATTTCATGCAATAATGTATGCGAGGCCACCCCATCTTGTACGTATTATTATGCGTTTTGTGCTGTGTAACAGCAGGGGTTGTCTGTGTGTATGTATGTATGTGTGTGTGTGTGTGTGTGTGTGTGTGTATGTGTCCGCAGCAACTTGTCCACAACTTTCAACTCGGGAACCACAAAAGCTAGGAAGCTGAAAATTTGGGGCAACGTTTCCCACCCACGTGCGATCCCGCAAATCTAAATTCAGCCTCTCCGTATCCGCGTGTGGAACGTACGGTCCCATAAAAGTTTGGGCGGGTAAAACTATTATCATGGGAACCACGGAAGCTGGAAGGCTGAAATTTTGTGGGCATGCCCTCCGCCCATGTGCTACCCAGGAAATTTAAATTCAGCTTTCCCCCGCTCGAGGGTACCACCTATGGCCCCGTGAAAATTTTGGCGGGTAAACTATTATCTCCGGGATCACGAAAGGATATTCACCCTTCAAGGTGTTAAATTACAAAGCAATGAAAATCATTAATAGGCAATCGTTCGGTGGGCGGAACTGCACAAAACGCATGATCGCACCGGCTAGTCTGGTGCGCGTTGCTATTCATACCATTACCATGAACTGCATTGGTGCGTTTAGTGGACTTCGTAATATTTTTCTCTTTAGAAAGTATGATTTTTGCGGAAAACCCGTTATGAGCTGCTTAATCTGGTCGGAAGATGAAAGGAGCGCCAGCAAGCTGACCCCCATCAGACGATGCAACACTGGTCGAAGCAACAACTGCAGCGAACAAAGCAATGAACTGAGGAGCTGAAAGTAAGTAAATATGTGAAAGGCGTCAAACAGTCTTATTTTTGCTTTAAGTCTTACTAAGGCTACACGAAAACATCAGATTACAGGTAACATGCTCTAACCTGTACCCCATAGCGGGTCGCATTTACACATTCTAGGTAGGCTAGTTACCTGTAATCTGTTTTCTTCGTGTATGTTGGGAGCTGGAACGGAAATCCAGTATCGGCATTGGAATAGCAGGTATGCCTCTCACATATGTATTGAAAATAGACTTAACAGAATGCTCAGGATGGGCACGGTAAGTGGCTTTTGGTGTAACCGGTTGTAACGGATAACGGAGAATAAGGGTTCGACTCCTGAGAAACGGCTAGCTACCACATCCAAGGAAGGCAACAGGCGCGCAAATTACCCACCCTCAGCATGAGAAGATACTGACGAAAAATAACGAGACCGTTCTGTTTGAGGTTGATTATCGAAATGGGTACAGTTTAAACCCGTTAACGAGGGGATCTATGAGAGGGCAAGCCTGGTGCTAGCAGCCGCGGTAATCCCAGCTCTTACGGCAAGTGGCGTCAACTTTTGGTGTAACTTTTCCCAACGCTAAGCGGACTTCCCTCAACGCCTAATCCAACGTGTATTACTCCACAAATTCTCATCAGTCCCCCTCTTTTCCTAGCCCCGTCTCTCCCTCATTCTCCTCTATCTCGTGCTCATCGTTTACCTCAATCTTCCATTGTCTGTAAAGAAAATACAGATCATTTCATACACTGTTATATAAAAAATTTATATAGTGAAGCTAAGTGATAGCAGCCATGATAAGACATAAAAACAGTAGCAGATTTAAGAATGGCATT